ACTAGGAAGCAGACCCTCAAGAATAGTAACTTCTGAGTTACTCCCAGTGCCACGAATAAGTGAGTTTAGACATAGGTGAATAAAGCAGATGAATGCAAGACTAGAAGGATGGTGCAGGATTCAGGGGATTAGATTAGACATAGCCATACAACATTGAAGCAGGCCTTTTGGCCCATCATGTCTATGTCGACCAACAAACATCAAACTACACCAGTCCCATTTACCTACACTTGCTCCATAGATTACTATGCACTTGCATGTTAAATCTCCGCCAGATGTTTCTTAAACGTTGAGTACCTGCCTCTGCAACTCTCCCAGGCAGCCCGTCCCATATTTCTACTGGCTCCCGGTGAATTTTTTTCTCTCTCATCTTCTTTAAAACACTTGCTCCTCACTTAAACTTATGCTGTCTGGTCTTGGACATGTCTTAGATTCTCATGATCTATTCTGTCTATGCCTCTTATAAGTTTATATATCTCAATCAGATACCTTTCAGCTTCCTCTGCTCCAGGGAAAACAAACCTAGCCTCTCCAGTCTGGAAACAAAAAATGCTGGAAATCACAGTGGGTCAGGCAGCATCTGTGGAGAGAGAGCAAGCTAACATTTTGAGCTTAGATGGCTCTGATGCAGAGTTATCTAGACAAGCCTATTCAGTCACTCCTGATAACTGAGACTTTCTACCCTCAGGCTACGTCCTGTTGAATCTCCTCTGCACCCTCTCCAGTGCAATCATGTCCTTCCTATAGTGTGGTGACCAGAACTACACACAGTATTCCATCTGTGGCCTCACCAAAGTTTTATAAAGTTGCTTGCTCCTATATCCTACACCCTGGCTAATGAAGGCAAGCATCCCGTATGCCGCCTTCACCACCCTGTCTGCTTGAGCTGACAGCTTCAGGGATCTATGGACTTGTACATTAAGGTCCCTTCATTCCTCAGTACTCCCGAAGGACCTATCATTTATTTATTAATATACATAGCAAATGGCTGGAGTCCCAGCACAGATCTCTGTGGTACGCTGTTGGCTTCTAAACACAAAAAAACCCTCCACCACCACCCTTTGTCTCCTATTTGTAAGCTAATTTTGAATATATTTTGCCAGCTTGCTTGGATCCTATCAGCTCTTATCTTCCATGTTACTGCGTTGTCAAAGGCCAATCTGAAGTCTATTAAACCACATCAACTGCACTATCTTCATTAAAATATTTAGTTACCTTTTCAAAAATAAAACTCCATTCAATTATTCAGGCAGGACTTCCTTCTAATAAACCTCCATCTAATAAATCTGTGCTGACTACCCTTGATCAATCCCTGGCTTTCCAAATGTTATTTATTCCTGTCCCTCAGATTTTTTCCAATAATTTCACACCCTGATGTCAGACCAACATGGTTCGTGATTCCCTGGCATTTCCCTCCTGCCCAGATCAGTTTTAGAGGGACGTGAACTGCACTGCTTGGACAGGGCTTGTACCTGAACAGAGCTGGGACTGAATTCCTTGCAGGTTGTTTTGCCTGTGCTATCTGGTAGGGTTTAATCTAATTCAACAGAAGTATGGGAACCGGAAGAAAATGTCAGAGAGAAATACCAAGGCACACAGATACAGGGAGAGATAATAGGGATTAGTAATACCTAGGTGGATTTAATGTAAAAGGAAAGGTAATCAAGTCTATATTAGTGTTATTATACATGTATGTGAATGCATGTAATGTGGTAAATACATTTGCTGAGTGACTGGTGCAGATTGCCAAATGGAAATATGAAGTATGTCAATAACAGAACCCTGGCTCAAACAAGAGCTGGATGTGATATAAAATATTTGTGCATGCAAATTGTTCAGGGTAAATAGAAAAGGAGTGCTAAGAGGAAGGGGGAGAGGTAGTGGCAACTGCCGATGCTGAAGAATCTGAGATAACGAAGTGTTATCCTTACCCTTATAAGGGTCCAGACCCGAAACGTCAGCTTTCCTGCTCCTCTGATGCTGCTGGGCCTGCTGTGTTCATCCAGCTCTGTATTTTTTTGTCTTAGCTAAGAGGAGGGGTATGTTATTGATTAAGGAGAAGGCTGCAGATCTGAAGAGAAGGATCAAGGACAGAATTGATTTGGCTATTGCCAAGTACCAATAAAGGTGCAATGACATTGCTTGACATTGTCTTTAGACCACACATTAGTGAAAAGATGTAGAGAAGTAAATTTACAAGGAATTTACAAAGAAATGCAAGAAAGATGGAGGAGGTCTAATGGCAAACATAGAACACAGAAGCATACAGCACAGGAACAGGCCCTTCGGCCCACTGTGTTTGCACCGACCATGATACCATTCTAAACTAATCCCGTCTGCCTGAACATGATCCCAATCCCTCTATTCTCTGACTGTTCATGTATCTGCCTAAATACCGCTTAAACGTTGTTTCCACCACCACCTCTGGCAGTGTGTTCCGGGCACTTAATACCCTTGTATGAGAGAGTTTTTTTTAATACGATCTCCTTTAGACCTTCCCCTCTAACCTTAAACCTACATTCCATAGTATTTCACATTTCCACCCTAGGAAAGTGACTCTAATTATCCAACCTATCCGTGCCTCTCATACTTTTATGTACTTCTAACAGGTCGCCCCTCAGTCTCCAACACTGTTGCAAAAAATTTGTCCATCCTCTCCTTATGCTAATACACTCCAATTTAGGCAACATCCTGGTAAACCTCTTTTGATCCTCTCCAAAGCTTCCACATCCTTCTTATAATGCAGTGACAGAACTGCACACAATATTCCAAATGTGGCCTTACTAAAGTTTTATACTCAGTGCCCTGACTGAAAAATGCATGCATTCTGTATGCCTTCTTTACCATCTTATGTTGTATTGCCACATTCTGGGTGTTATGGACATGCACCCCAAGATTATTCTGTATATTGATGCTCCCAAAGGTCCTGTATTTACTGTATTCTTTCCACATGCATTAGACCTCCCAAAATACATCACCTCACACTTGTCCAGATTAAACTCCAGCTGTCATTTCTCTGCCCAACTTTTCAGCAGGCCTATATCCTGCTGCATCCTTTGACAACATTCCTCACTATTCACAAATCTAGCAATTTCATTGTCATCTGCAAAAGTACTAATCAGATCACCTACATTTTTGTCCAATTCATTTATCTCTATTAAAAACAAAGAAGTCCCAGCACTGATCCTTGCGGAACACCAGTGGTCACAAAGCATCAGTCAGAAAAACGCCCCTTAACAATGACTCTCTGTATTCTACGACCAAGCGAATTTTGTGTCCAACTTATCAACTCACGGATTCCATGTGGCTGAATCTTCTGAGCCAGCATTCCATGAGGGACCTTATCAAATGCTTTAATAGAGTCCAAGTAGACAACATTCACCATCCTAACCTCATCAGTCATCTTTGTCACTTTTTCAAAAAACTCAGATTTGTGATACAAGACCTCTCCTGCACAAAGCCATGCTGACTATTCCTAATAAGTCCACTGTTTTCCAAATGCAAGTAAATCCTGTCCCTAAGAATCTTCTTCAGTAATTTCTCCAAGAATGTAAGGCTCACTGGCCTATAATTTCCCAGGTTAGCCTTCTGCCCTTTATAAAAATAACAGCATTGGCCATTCTCCAGTTTTCTGGGACCCTACCTGTGGCTGAGAGGATACAAAGACATTTGTCAAGGCCCCAGTAATCACATTCCTTGCCTCCCTCAATATCCTGGGATAGGTTCCGTCAGCCCCTGGAGACTTTTCTACCTTAATGTTTTGCAAGACACCCAACACATCCTCCTTCTCAATATTGACATGCCCCAGAATATTAACATACCCTCCCGAATCTTATGTCTTTCTCCTTGGTGAATACCGACATGAAGTACTCGTTAAGGACCTCACCCACTTCCTCTGGCTCTGTGTATAAATCCCTACTTTTTTCTTGAATGGATCTACCCTTTCACTAGCTACCTCCTTGATCCTAATAAAAATACCTAGTGGTATTATCTCTGGACTGTCAATCCAGAGACCCAGGTAATGTTCTGGGGAAACTGAGATTACAAGGTGTAGAGCTGGATGAACATAGCAAGCCAAGCAGTATCAGAGGAGCAGGAAAGCTGACGTTTCGGGTCTAGACCCTCTTTCAGTCTAGATCCGAAACATCAGCTTTCCTGCTCCTCTGATGCTGCTTGGCCTGCTGTGTTCATCCAGCTCTACATCTTGTTATCTCAGATTCTCCAGCATCGGCAGTTCCCACTATCTCTGTAATGTTCTGGGGACCCAGGTTTGAATCCCACCATGGCAGAAGATGGAATTTGAATTCAATAAAAATCTGATTTAAGAGTCTGATGCTGGCCCTGAATCTGTTGTCAATTGTCAGGAAAAACCCACCTGGTTCATTGGGAAACGGCCATTCTTACGTGGTCTGGCCTACATGTGACTCCAGACTCTCAGCATTGTGGCTGAATCTTAATTGCCCTCTGGGCAATTAGGGATGGGTACAACTTTCCTTTCATGAAGCTGACTCTGCTTGATTAGATTATGATTTTCCAAATGTGCTGCTATTACTTCCTTAATAATTCCTTCCAACATTTTTCCAACAATCAGGGACCAAAATCCACAAACCTGTTTCTCCCCACAAAATGTTTTAATGAACAAAAACCCATTAATCTCAGTGTTAACAATTTGATTTTCAATAGCCACTTGTCAAAAAGAGGTTCAAACCTCTATGAACTTCTTTGTATTGTTTCCCAATTTCACTTTTGAAACGGCTGGGTTTTGTCATTTTCAGTTTGCTTCAATTTATGTTTATCTTCTGGGCATCGGTTTGTATATTCTGTGAACTACATTTGTCGTTTTATTCTGTACTGTATTCCAGTATTTATGTTCTCAGCTCTAATTGTTTCATCTCTGCAGTCTCTGCTCTGTGCTGTGTTGGGTATTCACTGGTCTGTCCGATTGGCCTGTTCTGTTCTACTAGTATTATATCTAACTTGTATATTCTCTTCTCTTACAGTGTTTCCCAAAATGTTTGCCAAGTTGCTGTTGAATCCATTGTTTATCATTATCGTGCTAGCTCAGTGCAGTTTCTCTTCCATGCTTGCTGGTCTCTCCACGTACTTCAATAAATTCCTGGAACAGCAGTACTCCACAACAGCTTCCCATGCAAATTTTCTCATAGGTAAGTGGAGTTATATGAGCAGTGATTGATTAATTTATTACATATTCATTGTTATTTGTCCAAACATTAGTCAACACCAACTCGGCTCATTAATTGTCAAATGTTTCCCATGCCCTTGATTTTAAATGGGCAGAATCTCCAATTCCAGAATCACTTTAATCCTCCACAGTTTTAGGTTTCCATGATGGGCATTTTTTGGATACAAAGTGGATGTTCTCATACATCCTGTGTCAAATGATATTTGTCATAATTTATATACTCACTAAATCAACCTTTGTCCTTTCGTAGCATCCTTCACTATGTACTGTCCTTCCAAATTTATTGTCAGTAGCATGTGTGGCTATGTAGACTCAGAATAATTTATGTTACAAAAGGAGGCCAGTCTGCCCAACAAATCCATGGTGGCCCTGTATGGAACATTCTAGTCATTCCCCACTCCAGCCCTCTCTCGTGTCCCAGATTTAGTTCCTTCAGTACAAATCAAATTTTTCATAAGTCTCTGATAGCATCCACCTTCACCAGCCTCTCACTCAATGAGAAGCAAGGTTCCCTCTCATATTTTCCCCCACCCCTTGCAATTTCAACATCTGATAGTCCTTGTGCCCTCAGCTAATGGGAATAGTTTTTCTTTATCTACTTACTACAAATCTGTCATGATCACATTACTTATATTCTCTTAATCTCATTCGTTCCAAGGAGAACAATCCCAGCATCTCCAGATTTACATTTTTGCTAAAATTATTCGTTCTTGGAAACAATATGGTAAATCTCCCCTGCAGCCTCTTAAGAGCCTACACATCCCTCCGAAAATGTGGTGACCAGATCTGGATGCAGTACTTGAGTTGGGGCCTAACCATGACTTTATCAAGGATCTGCACAACTGATTTCTATTTAAACAGCCCAAGATCCTAATTACTCTCAATATTTCCTTTAAAAAGTTCAATACACTTGCACTCCCAAATTCCTCAGTTTCTGAACATTCTTTTAGAACTGTGCTAGCGAAGTGATTGCTGGGCCCCTAGCTGAGATATTTGAATTATTGATAGTCATGGGTGAGGTGCCAGAAAACTGGAGGTTGGTTAATATAGTGCCATTATTTAAGAACGGGGTAAGGAACATCCAGAGAACTGTAGACCGGTGAGCCTGACATCAGTGATGGGTAAGTTCTTGGAGGGGATTCAGAGGGATAGGAGTTACATGTATTTGGAAAGGCAAGGATTGATTAGGGATAATCAATATGGCTTTATATGTGGGAAATTGTGTCTCACTATTAACTAGGTTGAGTTTTTTGGAAAAGTGACAAAGAAGATTGATGAAAGGAGAGCAGTGAATGAGGTCTATATGATCTTCGGTAAGGTGTTCGACAAGGTTCCACATGGTATACTGGTAAGCAACGTTAGATCACGTGGAATCAGGGAGAAATAGCCATTTGGATACAGAATTGGCTCGAAGGTAGGATGGTGATGGAGGATTGATTTTTGGACTGGAGGCCTGTGACCACTGGTGTGCTGCAAGGATCAGTGTTGGGTCCACTGTTTTTTGTCATTTATATCAACAACTTGAATGCAAATATAATAGGTATCATTAATAAGTTTGCAGATGACAGCAAGGATGTCTAGGATGGTGTGTTGCCTCCCGGGTGCCAGGGTTCTTGATGTCTTTGAGCAGTTTCAGGATATCCTGAAACGGGAGAGAAAGGATTAAGAAGTCATTGTCCACATTGGCACAAATGACATAGGTAGGATGAAGGAAGAGGTCCTGTGAAGACAATTCAGGGAGTTAGGTAGGGAGCTAAAACGCAGGTCTACCAGGGTAGTAACCTCAGGATTATTACCTGTGCCACAGGCTAGTGAGGCTAGGAACAGAGAGAGAATGCAGTTGAACATGTGGCTACAGAGCTGGTGTAGAAGGGAGGGCTTTAGATATGTGGATCATTGGGATGTCTTCTGGGGAAGGTGGGACCTGTACAGGAAGGACAGGTTGCACCTAAACTGGAGGGGCACCAATATCCTGGGCGGGAGGTTTTGCTAGAGCTCTTTGGAAGGGTTTAATTTAGTGTGGTGGGGGTGGCAATCAGAATACTAGGCCAGTAAGTGCAGGGACTGGGAACAAAAGTGTGACAGAGATATACATAGCACAGAGTAAGAGCAGGCACAGGCTCAGAGGGACTGGAGATCTGGAATGCATTTGCTTCAATGCAAGATGTATAGCAAGTCAGATGAACTAAGAGCATGGATTACTGCATGGAATTATGATGTTATTGCCATTACAGAGACATGGTTAAAGGAGGGACAGGACTAGCAGCTTAACATTCCTGGACATCGTTGTTTTAGATGGAACAGAAGGGGGAACAAAAGGGGTGGGGGGAGTTGCACTGGTGATTAGGGATCACATCACAGCTGTGTAGAGGGAAGACACATTGGACGGATCTTGCATTGAGGCATTATGGGTTGAGCTCAGGAATAGGAAGGGTGAAATCACAATGTTGGGAGTTTACTATAGACCTCCCAACCTCCCCTGGGAGACGGAGGAGCAGATATGTAGTCAGATACTGGAAAAGTGTGAAAAGAGCAGGGTAGTTGCATTGGGTGACCTCAACTTTCCTCTTAGTAACTGGGAATCCCTTCGAGCCAGGGGCTCAAATGAAGAGCAATTTGTTAGTTGTATCCAAGAGGGCTTTTTGAGGCAGTATGTTGACAACCCAGTCAGAGAGGAGGTCATATTAGACTTGGTCCTAGGAAATGAGCCAGGACGCGTGATTGATGTTTCAGTAGGAGAGCATTTCAGGCTTAGTGACCATAATTCCATAAGATTTCGAGTAGTCATGGAAAAGGACACAAGTGGCCCTCGGGTGAGGGTGCTTAATTGGGCAAAATCCAATTCCACCCAAATTATACAGGACCCAGAGAATGTGGATTGGAAGCAGTTATTTGAGGGAAAATCTACCTTTGGCATGTGGGAGGCTTTTAAAGACCAATTGACTAAAGTGCAGGACATGAATGTCACTGCAAAGCTAAAGGATAGGAATAGCAGGATTCAGGAACCATTGATGACAAGGGAAATTGTAAGGTTAGTCAAAAGAAAAAGGGAAGCATACGACAAGTATAGGCAGCTACAAACTGAAGAAGCTCTGGAGAAGCACAGAGAAATTAGGAAGGAACTTAAATGCAGAATTAGGAAGGCAAAAAGGGGCCATGAAATGTCTTTAGCAAACAGGGTCAAGGAGAATCCCAAGGCTTTTTATGCATATGTTAGGAGAAAGACAATAACAAGGGAAAGAGTAGGCCCATTCGATGACGAAGCGGGGTAGTTATACATACAGCCACAGGAAGTGGGGGAGATCCTGAATGAGTACTTTATCGGTTTTCACCAAGGAGCAGAGCAGGACTAATGTTGAGGTCAGGGATGAGTGTGTGAATACTCTAGAGAATGTCAACATTATTGAAAGAGGAAGTTTTGGAAATCCTAAATTGCATTACGATAGACAAGTCCCCAGGACCTGATGGGATTTACCCCAGGTTACTCAAAGGCAAGGGAGGAAATAGCTGGGGCATTGGCAGATATATTCACACCCTCGTTGGCCACAGGTGAAGTTCCAGAGGACCAGAGATTAGCAAATGTTGTTCCCTTGTTTAAGAAAGGATGCAGGGATAATCCAGGAAACGATAGGCCAGCGAGCTTGACGTCTGTGATGGGGAAGCTCTTGGAGAAGATACTGAGGGACAAGATACGTGCACATTTGAAGGAAAATGGACTAGTTAGTGACTTGCAGTATGGTTTTGTCTGGGGAACGTCATGTCACACCAACCTGATCAAATTTTTTGAAGAGGTAACGAGGATAATTCATGAGTGAAGGGCTGTGGATGTAGTTTATCTGGACTTTAGTAAGGCATTTGATAAAGTCCCACGTGGCATGTTGGTACAAAAACTAAAATCACAAGGGATTCAGTTGGCCTGGATAGATGGATAGAAAACTGGCTTGGTCATAGAAGACAGAGGGTAGTGGTGGAAGGATGTTTTTCAGAACAGAGACTGGTACCTAGTGGTGTTCCACAGGGGTCAGTCTTAGGTCCTCTGTTGTTTGTAGTAAATATAAATGATCTGGAGGAAAATGTGGGTGGTCTGATAAGCAAGATGCTTATCTTATTGCTGATGACATGAAGATTGATAGAGTTGCTGATAGTGCCAATGACTGTGAAAGTATACAACAGGATATAGATAGATTGGCAACTTGAGCACAGAAATGGCAGATTGAGTTTAATCCAGACAAATGCGAGGTGGTGCATTTCGGAGGATCAAATTTAGGTGTGAATTATATTGTAAATGGTAGAACCCTTAGGAACATTAACATTCAGACAGATCTGGGCGTGTAGGTCCACAGTTCCCTGAAAGTGGCAACACAGGCAGCCAAGGTGATTAAGAAGACATATGGTATGCTTGCCTTCATCGCCTGGGGCGTGGAGCACAGGAATTGGCAAAACATATTGCAGCTATATAAAACTCTTTCTCGGCTGCATTTGGAGTATTGTGTGCATTTTTGATCACGACACTACCAGAAGGATGTGGAAGCTTTGGAAAGAGTACAGAGAAGGTCGCCAGGATGTTGCTTGGTCTCCAGGGCATTGACTATGAGGAAAGGTTAAAAAAACTAGGATTGTTTTCACTGGAAAGACAGCAGCTAAGAGGAGACCCGATAGAGGTCTACAAAATTATGAAAGGCATAGATAGGGTGGATAGTCAGAGGCTTTTTCCCAGGGTTGATGTTTCAGTTACAAGGGGGCACAGGTTCAAGGCCAGAGAAGGAAAGTTTAAGGGAAATGTGCGAGGGAAGTTTTTCAAGCAGAGAGTGGTAGCAGCCTGGAATGCACTACCAGAAGAGGTGGTGGAAGCGGGCACGTTGAAGACATTTAAGAAGCACTAGATGGGTACATGAATAGGGAGGGAATAGAGGGATACGGGTCAAAAAATGGCAGGTTTATTTTTAGATTAATTAGGTCTTG